AAGACCGGCTGCTTTTCACATTCCTCCCTTTCTTCTTTCTTCTCTCTCAATTACACTTATTTTTATTGCATATATGTCAATTCTCAGAGGACGGCTTGTGGGAGCCAGTCCTCAGGCTCGGCGGCAAGCCATCTTGCTGGCATGTTTTTAGTTTGTGAATGTTGAAGCACAATTATCCGAGCGTTTGAACGTTCGTGTCGTTGCCTCCCTTCCCAACACTGTCCCCTCTGTGGTATTGCCCCACCTATTGTCTGGTAGGCCTGAAGTAGCTCGGCTCCTCGCAGCGTGCCTCCAGCCTCGGTGCTCTGCTCCAGTGTCTGCTGGATGAAGGGAGTCCTGGAAAGATTACCAAGCAGGGCAGGCCTGCTTACACATTCCTGTCAGAGGAGCTGTATCAGGGTTTGATTCCCAGGATGCTTTCTGCCTACAGTGCTCCCTGGCTCCCTCTCCTGGCCAGAGTAGAACTGCAAGTCTGCAGCCCTTACACGGCTCTGTACCGTGTGACTTGCTTCAGCCAGCGAAAAGTGCGTGGGAGCCATACTTCCAGCTCGGTTTACAAAAGTCACTGTACGTATATCCGCACTCCCTGCTTTTCCCTGCTACAACGGCGAACTCTGTCAGCCTGGTTTCTGAAGCTGTCCATATGCAGCCAAGTTCTTTTGAGCCTTGTCACACCTGGACACCTGGGACAAACTTGTGGGAGGGGAAAAAGAAGCTTACCGGCTTTTCAGGCTGGGGCAGCGCAGGGCCAATTGTTACCGCAGCATAATCCAGCCCATCCTGACTACAACATCACCCTTTCCTCTTCTGTCATCCGTGCGCTACCTTGAGACAATCACATCAACTTCAGACCTGGTGTCTCGACTCACAAGAGGGAATATAATAGACTAAGACTCCTGAAAATCTCAGGTCAGAGGTCATGACCCACCTCCCCCACAAATATATATTATATACATTATAGTATATATAGTGTAAATGTATATATACGTTTATGTATATGTGTATGTATATATACATTTGTGTATATGTGTACATATGTACATACAGGATTTTGTTGATTTTAAATTGATATTAAAGATTTATTTCTATGGAGAGGTATATTCCCATGTGGGGATTTGTGCCCATGAGTGTAGGGCCTGAAGAGGCCAGAAGAGGCCGCTGGATCCCCTGTAGTCACAGGGGACACAGGAGCCACAGTTGTGAGCTGGGAAATGAACTCCGCCCTTCAGCAAGAGCAACAAGCATACCCAACTACCGAGCCACCCTTCCAGTATCTGGTGTAGGACTCAGGCATCTGAACAGAGAGGGGTCACCATTCTGTCAGTGATGAGGGGTGTGTTGGTACAAACCTGTTCTTGTAGCAGTGGGGACATGGAGACCGGAGGAGCCCGGGCTCAAAATCATTCTCAGGTATACTCCAGTTTGGGGCCAGCCTGGGCTACATAAAACCCTATCTCCAGGTGGGGAGGGGACCGTGAGGTGACAGAGTGTAGTTCACATTATGGTAAATGGTCATGTGCTGTTTAAACTCTCTGAGGAGCTAACTCTGGAGGCGGGGCTCCCTGCCCCCCACTTCAGACCCAAGCATGTTGGTCTCCGTGTTCCCCAAGGCCCCTAGTCTGGCGGAAGGGCTACTCCTCACAGCTCTGTGACAAGGAGGAAGAAGAACAGCAAAATGGCCCAGCATTAAAAATACCACATCATTGAGAGCAGCTGGAAGACAGAGTGTTCCCAAAGTGTTACTTTTCTTACCCATTTTATATTGTGTGAATGTGCCTGTATGAATTTCCTAACGGGTGCCAGGGACTGAACTCAGGTCTCCGGAAAATAAGATGTGTTCTTAACTGCTGAGCGAAGGGTTAGGGCTAGGGTTAGGGTCAGGCCTCTGTTAAATTAGGGTTCTGGTTGGGGTTAGGAGATCTAGGGTTAGGGTTAGCTTTAGTTTAAGGGGCAGCATAAGTATTATGGTTTGTGTTAGGATAGGTGTTAGTGTTAGGGATAAGTTGGACTCATTGGTTATGGTAAGGGCTAGTGTTAGGATTGTGTGAGGGCTAAGTTAGGGTTTGGATTAGGGTTACATTTAAGATTAGGGTTAGAACTTTGTCCAGGGTTAGGGACAGAAGTAGGGTTAGTGTTGGGGATGGGATAATTTAATCACTGCCAAGTATTAACTGTTATTTAAAAAAACAAAGGTTTCCCAATAGATAGTGCCCCCTTCCACATCCCTGTCTGTCTGTCTTCCCACATGTTAGGTTTTCATTTGCACAAGTATGTGCCTGATGCCTGTGAAGGACAGAAGAGGGAGTCAGATCCCCGGAACTAAGTTACAGATGGTTACAGATGCTGGGAATTGAGTCCAGGTCTCTGGGAGAGCAGCTGTGCTCTTAACCACTGAGCAATTTCACCATCCCAGGATTCTATGTAGTTTTAACTTGATATCAGCTTCCACAGGCTTACAGAAGACACGTGTAAGATCAAGGTCCTGTGCTTTACTTACTCTCCTACTTATTTCTCAAGTGGTTGACATTTATCTCAGATTTGCCATGTAATCATACCTGGTTTCTGTAAGACACGCTCCTTGATTTGACATCTTAATCATGTTTTGCTACATAGTACATAC